CTGCTAGTGGGAGTGTAAGAGTGCAGCTGCTGTTTGGCAATTCCTCGAAATGTTAAACATAGTGTTACCATGACCTAGTAAGTCTACCTTTAGGCATATACCCAAGAGAAATGAAATTATACATGTACCCCAAAAAATTTGTATGAGAATGTTCATATCGTTATTATGATAGCCAAAAAATGGAAACAACCCAAATGTCTATCAGCTAATGAATGAATAAACAAATTGTGGCATAGCCACACAATGGAATATTACTCAGCCATAACTAGGAATGAAATACTGATACATACTACAACATGGATAAACTTTGAAAATATGAAAGAAACTGGGCATAAGTGGTCACATGCTGTGTGATTCCATTTGTATGACATGTCCAGAACAGGCAAATGCATAGAGACAAAGTAGATTGATTAGTGGCTGCCAGGGACCAGGGAGAAGAAGGGATAGGGAGTGACTGCTAATGGATATAGGTTGTTTTTAGGTTATTGAAAATGTTCTACAACTAGATAGTGATGATCATACAACTTTGTGAATACATTAAAAACCACTGAATTATACACTTTAAAAGGGTACCATGAATCTAATAGCCATCACCACAGATCCCTATCGGTCAGGTCACCCTGGTTGTACTCTGCCTTTGCTTCCCATTATAGTAGCTATGTTCTGCCATCTGTCTTTTGTTGTTCAGGAATTCTTTTATTTCTAGTTGATTCTAAAGAGCCCTATTCCAGTAGTATCTGTCAGTTTCAACCCATAAAGGGCAAACACGATTGAGCTTTTCAAAGATGTCAGTGGCCTCCTTGCCAGTGCATTTTTCTCACCAGTGCCTCAGTGAAAGGAATATCATCAGGGTCTTCTGGGTAGCATAAGCAGATGATGGCTTCTCCAGTCTCGTTATAAGTCCATTCTAACCTCAGAAGGGCAGGATAGAGGGAATAAAAGAGTTAGAGGGAAAGCTAGGACAATGATAGATTTTAAAGTGGCCACTAGATTTAATCATATGAGATTTTCTGAAGAGACTTAAGGGTTTTTAAAAACCTATTATTTTGAAATAACTTTGGACTTAGAGGAAAAATATGAAAATAATAAGAATTTTCATGTCTGTTGCCCAGATTCTATAAGTGTTAACATTTTACCACACTTATTTTAATTTCTCTCCTCTCTTTATATTTATGTATGTATGTATATACACATGAACACACATTGTTTTTCTAAACCCTTTGAGAATAAGTTGCCCACGTGATGCCCTCAACCCCTAAATATTTCAGTGTGCAAGTCCTAAAAACAAGGATATTCTCTTTCACAAATGCAGTATAATGATCAAGATCAGAAGGTTAAGACCAATATGATATTGTCTGATCTCAGATTTTATCCAAATTCAACAAAGTCGCATTAACATTCTTTAGAGTAAAAGACAAAATTTTATTTTTTCTAATTAGAAAAAATCCAGAATCACTTTTGAATTTAGTTGTCATGTCTCTTTGGTTTCATTTATTCTGAAGCAGTTCTTTAGTCAAGGCTTGGCAAGGCCCAGGGGACCAGGGGTAAGGAGTGGGCAGTGGCAGGAGTCAGAACCACATGTGAACAGAGGCTCCAAGCCCCTGGGCATGCTCCATTGTGCCATTAGATTTCACTTTTAAAACATGAATTTAAAGACATTTTTAAAAGAATTTCATGATAGTAACTGCAGAGCATTAAAATTCTGAGTGCAGGGCTCTGTATGGCATATGAAATGTATCACCAGGAAGCCAGCCCTATCACTATTTATTTTAATGTTCAAATTGCCCCAGAGTTGGCCAGTGGGAGCCCTTTCAAGCTGACTACTGAGTTTTTTTTTTATGTTTATTTCAGACATGAGAAGTAATGTTTAAACATTATCTGAAAATCGTGTCCAGTTTAATAAGTATAAAACAAGACTCCTAAAAAAAGTTTATGACTAAGTATAAAATGCTTTAGAATATACTTTGACATTCACAGTGGGCATGTTTGTAAAATAAATTTTGTTAATGTAGTTTAAAAACAATATATTCACAGTCCTGATTAGAATAAGCGAGTGCTTACTCGATGAACTGTCCTCCCCAGGATGGTTCCTGTGTCCTTTTGACATGTACATGTCATTCTCTGAGCACTCCTTTACTTTCTGGCTCATCCTTTTCTCTCCTAGATCAACCTATGAATCAAGGAGTACTGGTTCTTTTTTTAAAATGGAAACAAAATTCACATAACAAAAACTTAATCATTAACCATTTAAATTAATACAATTCTGTGGCATTTACTACATTTGCAGTGTCGTGCAACTATCACCTCTTTTGAGCTCCAGGACATTTTTATCACCCTAAAGGAAACTCTATGCACAGTGAGCAGTCACTCCATGTTTCCCCTTCCCTCACCTCTGGCAACCAGTCTATTTTCTGTCTCTATGGATTTACCTATTCTGGATATATGGATGTATTCTGGGTATAAATGGAACCATACAATATGTGACTTTTTGTGACTGGCTTCAAGGTTCATTCATGTTGTAGCATGTTATCAGTACTCCATTCCTTTTTATGGGCTGAATAATATTCCATTGTATGGCTATACCATAATTTGTTTATTCATCCACTAATGGACATTTAGGTTGTTTCCACCGTTAGGCAATTGTAAATAGTGACCCTATCAACATTTGGGTACAAATATTTGTTTGAATACCTGTTTTTAATTCTTTTGGGCATATTTCTAGGAATGGACTTACTGGGACCTATGGTAATTCTCTGTTTAACTTTTTGAAGAATTGCCAGATTGTTTTCCAAAGTGCCTGCAACATTTGCATTCCCATTAGTAATGTACAACGTTCCACTTTCTCCACATTCTCACTAACACTTATTTTTATTTTTTAAAAAGTTATGGGAACCTAGTGTGTGTGAAGCGTTATCACATTATGGTTTTGATTTGCATTTCCCTAATGATAAATGACTTTGAACATCTTTTCACATGCTTGTTGACCGTTTTTATATCTTCTTTGGAAGATATAAGTCCTTTTCTCACTTTTTAATTGGATTGCTTGTCTTCGTTGTTGAGTTCTAAGAGCTCTTTATATATTCTATATTCTATATTATTATCAACTATGTGATTTGCAAATATTTTCTCCTATTCTGCAGATCATGTTTTCACTCTCTTGATAGTATTCTTTGATGCACAAAATTTTCCAATTTTGATCAAGTCTAATTCTTCTATTTTTCTTTTGTTACTGTGCTTTTGGTTTAAAATCAAAAAAACCTTTGCAAATTCAAAGGTCATGAAGTTTTTTCCCTATGTTTTCTTCTGATTTATTTTGAGTTAACTATATGTGGTGTGAGGTAAGGGTCCAACTTCATTCTTTTGTACACAAATATCCAGTTCTTTGAACACCATTTATTGAAGAGACTGCTCTTTCAATATGGTCTTGGCACTCTTGTTGAAAATTAATTGACCATAGATTTATGGGTTCATTTCTGAACATTCAAGTTTGTTCTACTCATTTATGTGTTTGTCTTTATGTCAATACCATACTGTTTTGATTACTGCGGTTTTGTATTAAGTTTTGAAATCAGAAAGTGTGAGTTCACCAACTTTGTTCTTTTTTAAGATTATCTTGGCTATTTTGAACCCTTTGCAATTTCATATGAATTTTAGGATCAATTTTTCTGTTTCTGCAGAGGTGCTGCTTGGGATTTTGATAGATTGCTTTGAATCTGTAGATAGTTTGGGGATTATTGTTATTCTTATGATATTATGTGAAAATGAATATGAAGTATCTTTTCCAAACCATGAATACTGAATATCTTTTCATTTGTTTAAGTTTTCTTTAATTTCTTTCTGTAGTGTTTCATAGTTTTCAGTGTAAAGTCCTGCACCCCCATGGTTAAATTTATTCCTAAACATTTTATTCTTTTTTGTTATTGTAAAAGGGATTATTTCCTTAATTTTCAGATTGCTCTTTGCCAGTGTATAGAAATACAACTGTTTTTTGCGTGTTCATTTATTAGCTCTAATAGTTTTCTTGTAGATTCTTTAGGATTATATAAATATAAGATCATGGCCTTGATAGTTTTTATTGAAAAAAGTATTTAGATATCAAGATTTGAGTGCTAAATGTGTTCATAGCTCCTGTGTTATAATTGCTTCTAGGACCTCTTAGCAGACAGTGCTGGTTAAACATGCATACATGCATATCTTTATGTAATTCTATTTCTCTCTATTCAAAATCATAAGTTCTCACCGATACCTCCAATTTTAATCCTATTAGTAGTGATACTGCATCTGGACTCTGCATGTTTCAGGCTGCGGCCTGCAGTGTCAGAGAAGCCCCAGGATGGGAAGCAAGAGGTGTACTATGACCAATTCTGTGGCTCTAGTAAGAAGTGGTGTAGATAGGATTTTGAACTGGTACACAAGATATATTCAACACAGTTTCTGCAATAATTTTCTCTCCTTGTTTTCCTCCTACCTGTCTGGGCATTCTTTTTTCAGACTCCTTTAGCTGAGTGATCCTCTGGGTTTTATATGAAGGCTCCTCTCTGCTCACTTAGTACATTTTCTAGACTAGCTCGCTGACTCTCATGTCTTTGAATACCTTTTGGATAATAGCTCCAATATATTCTTCAGTGCTTCAGATTAACTTATTCAACTTAATACTAAAGTTTCACTTGGATATTCTGCTGGTGCTGGCATGTCAAAGTTAAAATGTCCTAAACTTGCTCATTATGGTCTATTTCACCTTCCCTCCCTGTGGCAAAAGGGCTTTCTTGCTTTTGCTCAATGGCTCCTAGTTGTCCAAACAAGAAACATGGGCACCTCTATAGATTCCTCTGCCGCATCACTTGCTAAGACCAAGTTTGCTTGATTCATTCTCCTAGATATCTCAGATCTATTGATACATCTTCATCATCCTGGCCACTGCTTTAAGTCAGATCAGTTTTATCCCTCATTTGGATTTCAGCATGCTCATTGGCCTCTCAAACCTAGCCTTGGCTTTACAGTCATTAAGAAAATGGGTTCTAAGTTTTACTCTTTGCTGTGGAACTTATTAGCTATATGATCTTGACCAGGGTGCTTACTCACTTTAAGGCTGCTTTCTCTTCTGTAATAGGGGGTTAAGAATAGTACTTATTTCATAAGGTAATTGTGAGAAGTAAATGAGGCACTACATGTAAAGTTCTCAGCATGTTGGTTGATTCATGGTCAAAGGTCAATAAATGTTAGCTATTATCCTTATAATCATTCCAGTATTCATGATCCAGCCTCTTCTTATTTCTTGTTTCTTCTGATTGCTTCTTTCCACTCAGTTTTTCAGCTTTTCTGAACTTCTTTCAGTTACTCAAATTTCTCATGCTCTCTTTTACCTCCAGGCCCTCCTCTGCTCTCTTTTCCTAGAATTCTCTTCTCCTTCACTCTCCCACCTTATTCATCCTTCTTAATACATATGTCACTTTCTCTGGGATGTCTTAATTTGGTGCCACTTATCTGTGTTCCATTGATACTCTTTAATTTCCTTTAGCTGGGATTTTATTTCACTGCCCTGAAGTTAACTGCTTACTGGTTCAGTTTTCAACCTCCCTAAGGACAGAAACCAGTTTACCTTTCTTACTATTGTCTCTCCAGTACCTAACACAGTGCTTGACTCACTGAATGAATGAATGGGTCACAGCACCACTGTCTGTTTTCTGATCTCCTGTCTGGCAAGCTCTTGGTGACAACCCCGACTGCATAGTGTGGGGATGGCTGCATTGGGGGCTCTCCCAGTCTCCTAGCAGCCATTATCAGTTGCTGCATTGCTAGCCTCCCAAATCTTAGGACTTTTCCTCTGTGCTTGAATATGGGGCTACTGTTCCTGTCTTAACCTTCACCAATAACAGTCTGATGGTCCTTCTCTCACCTGGGGAACATCCCTTGAAACCATCACCCTATGGTGAAATCTGTTATCCCTAACTCTGAGATAACTGTTGTATATTTTGTCTGGAAATATTAGATTGAATATATATTCGCTATTTGGCAATTTCATATGGTTATTCTATGTGTGATTTTGTAAATTGGACACATATATGAGAAGCTAATTGTACTGTAATGTAAACTGTGAGTAGCTACAGACTGGAAGGATGATGGGGTTGGGCAGGTGGGCCTGGGACAATTGGAATTTGTGGTGCTAGTAGAGGCATATCAGTGAGATGAAGTGTAAGAGATTCAATCATTTTGCTCTATTTAGAAGTGGAATTATTTGATTCAGAAGCGCTTTGCCACAAGAATAGGTCCAGGGCCACTGCTCAGACTTCCAGGCCACTGGAGGAGAAATTTGGCTGCCTTTGAGTGACCTGAACCTGGTGACCTGAACTTAATTTCCATCAGGTTCCAGCAGGGCCACACAAACCCGTCGGGATTGAGACACCGCTAGGGGGCAGCAAAGGCTCGAAGATGATTCCTTACTGTATTTTGCTTTTTATTTTTTCCCAATGAATTGATCTAACACTCTCTTAGAAATTTAATTTAGAGTTATTTTAGAATCCGAACCAGACTGTACGACCAGAGACCCAGTTTGTCATTTCCTTCCAGAAATTATTTCCAAGAACGCCAGCACTTTCCCTGGTCCCAGGAAGGCCACGCATGCCCAGGCCGAACCGAGTGAGGAGCTGGTGGGGCCAGATGGACGATGGCAGAGCCGGACGGCGCGCGGAGCCGGCCCCAGGAAGCACCCCGGGCCTCAGGAACCCTGAGTGGACCGACTTTGCAGCTACTCAGCACCGCTGGCTACAAGGTGGAGACACCGATCTCATGCCCTGAAAACACCTTTAAAAAATGGCTTTTGGAGGAGATTTGGCGAGGGTCACCAAACCATACGTCGCAGCGCACTGATCGTGAAGCAGTTTGCAAATGTTATCCCTGTGTCACGAAACGAAAACAACTCCCTAGGGTTTCTGCGCCTTCCAGGAAAGGGCAATAGAGACCTGGCTTGGGCCAAAGGAGGCGAGCGGGACCTTTCCGTGGCTCAGAGCACCACTCGGCAGGTGCGGCGGGACCGCGATCCGCGCGCGAGGAGGCGCCTGCACGGAATCGGGTGGGGGTGCTCCCCGAGGTGACAGGAGGAAGCGGGAGGTGGAGGGCGGAGAGGAGGTCCCGCCCCTACCTCGCTCTCATTTACGGGAAGTGATGTGGGGCCCGACGGAAAATACTCGCCAAGGACCCAAAAAAGGCCAGCAGCGGGTGGCCGCGCCGCGAGCGGAGGCAGAGCAGCGTGCAGACAGCGGGGACAGCGGGCCGAGCCAGGTGAGGTGGGCGGCTGCGGAGGTCCCGGAGGCGCGCTCTGGCCGCCGGCGTCCGCCAGGTTCCGCTTCATCCCGGAGAGCTGAGTAGGCTAGCAGGCCAGGGGCGCGTCTGGCCCCCAGCTGCGATGGAGGCTGCAGCTCCTTCCCTCCCCGCCTCTAAGGCGGCTGAGCCGGCCAGAAAAGTTGCTTTGCTGCTTCTGGGCCCTGCATGGCCATCGCACAGACCTCACGATGACAACTGCTGGGGATGGGAGTCAGCTTGGGCAAAGTGATGACGAAGTGTAGTCCCAGGTCGGGACCGCGGCTGAGGTCTCCTCAGGGTGGCATACAGGTGCGAGGGTCCCCATCTGTGGGAGAGGAAACTTCACTGGCAGAAGAGGAAGGTCTCAGACCTCCAGCACTTCCCTTTAGTTCTTTCCTCCCTGTTGTTGTTTTTACTTGAATTATTGAATGTCTTTACACCTTTGTTGGCCAGGGCCCTGAAGGCAAATTGGAGGGGTGGGAGAGGGTTCTCCCTTCTCCTGTCAGGCAGAAAGCCCTACCTGGCAGCTAGGTCCTCGGGTACTGACTTATGGTAGGACTAACATGATGACAGGTTTCTGTAACTATTGCCAAAGGCTTGTCACTACCCCAATAGATCACCGATTAAGCCAAGTCAGGCTTAAGTGAGGGAAATCTTGTGAGCCCTTGACTTTTGCCTTCCAAGCCTGGCCACACGGGCTACATGGCTTCAGAATCTTTTGCCATGGGATTCTCTTCTTCACCTCTGAGGGCTAACAGCTGTTTTCCCCTACTGGATAGATTCTTTATGGTTGGCTCATCATTCAGATGTTGGAAGGGGCGAGTAGTGTTACACCATATCAGTTTTCTGTGACTATTGCCGATTTAATTTCTTGCTGCTTCACTGTTCCTGTTCTTTCATCTTCTTCTTAAAAACTCGCTTTAGTAGGGGAAACACAGTCTGGAAAATAGGGTTTCTGCATATGGTTAGAAATGAAGAAAGTTTAAAATAGTGCTGAAAGAACTCGATTGAGGATCACTCTTTTTTGTATTTTATACTGTTTCTCATTCCCACTTTCTTCCTTTCATTTTTCTTCCTCCCTCTCTTTCTTAATTTTCATGGCATGCTTCGATTTTTTATTTTAATGACATATAATTAATTTTTCCTTTTGTTGCTTGTGCTTCTGGTGTCAAATCTAAGAAAGCATTGCCAAATTCAAAGTCATGAAGACTTATGTCTATGTTTTATAGTTTTAGCTCTTATATTTCAATTTTTAATACATTTTAATTTAATTTTTGTATGTGATATGAGGTAGAAGGTTCAACTTCATTTTTTTGCATGTGGATATCCAGTTCTCCTGGCACCATTTGTTGAAAAGACTGTTTTGCCCCCTTTGAGTTGTCTTGGCACCACTGTTGAAAGTCAATTGACTGTAAATGTGAGGATGTATTTCTGGATTTAAATTCTACTCTCTTGACCTATGTCTATTCTTATGCTAGTACCACACTATTTTGATTATTGTAGCATTGTAGTAAGTTTTGAGTCTCCCCACTTTGTTCTTTTTGTTCTTCTTTCTCTCATTCCCATATCTAGTCCCTCAGCAAATCTAACTGGTTCTATTTTGAGAATATATCTATGGTAGTAACCATTTCTCACCACTTTCACTGCTACCATCAAGTTCCTATCATTTGTCACCTGGATTACTGAAAAAGCCTCCTACAGGGCCATACTGCTTCCACACTCATCCCTCTGCAGTCTGTTCTCAACACAGCAGCTGGAGTCACTCACCTCTCTGTTCAAAAACTCTCCAATGGCTTTTTATCTCAGGATAAAAGCAAAGTCTCATCATGGGCTATAACCCCATGTGGCTTCATCTTCTATTACTCTCTCCTTCGTTTAGTCTGCTTCAGCCATCTGCACCTCAGGACCTTTGCACTTGCTGTTTCCTCTGTCTGGAATGCTCTTTCTTCAAATGTCTGCATAGTCTTCTTACTTATTTCATTCAGGTCAAAAGTCATTCCTGTAGAGAGGCCTTCTTGAACCATCTCAACTAAAATAGCATCCCTCACCCCTGCCATCATTTTCTGCTCCATTGCTTTATTTTTCCTTTGAGTACCTGTAATACTGTCATCTCCCTACCCCGCCCCCCCCCCCACGCTTACACTCACAAATTTGTCTCCCACCTACAGAATGCAAGCTCTATGAAGGTCGGGAATTTTTCTTGTTCACTATGGTGTGCATAGCGTTTAAAATGGTTTCTGGCACAGAGTAAGCACTCGAAAGAATGTGCTGAATGATTGAAAAGGGAATCGGAGACTAAAAAGTGGGGATCACTTTGCTATTTCTCATTATTCCTTCCCACTTGAAGAGAAGCAATGTCCATAATTACACTAACATCTTAGTTTCTCTTCTATCCTCATATTTCCCCTAAGATAATGGCCTTACCCTCCTTGGGAAGAGAAAGGTCAAATAACTGGAAAGGTGAGGGCTCTGGGTCTTCTCCACATTGGCAGTGGGGGGGGTCTCTTCTCTGAAACCTGGATAGCTTGAGCTGGGCATTCAGCGCCTGTCT